AATTCTAGTAAACTTTTAGAAACCTACCCTATAGAAAATTCTTGAGAACACCACTGAATAGTATGATAGATTTTCCTTGAATCTCAATTTCTTCAAATCTTACCACTTTTGTAACAGTGACGAGGTACCTACACTTTATACCAAGTGGCGTGCTACTACAACTGCTTTGCCTTAGATTACTCTTCACTAAATATTTACATAGCTTTCTCAATACATTTTATAATTTAAAAACGTATGTTCTATTTTTTGAGCTATTTATATATATTTATTAAACGTTCAACTTGTTTTAGTTATTTCTATAGATATCGACAAAAATATTTTGCATTTTTTAAATTTAAACATCATTTCCTCATAAACTGTTATAGTAGCAGTTCAAAATATTGATGATAAGATCTGATATGGTAATCACATTTTTTTTAAAAAGCATTTAAAGTTCATATTTTGGAAATTTTTGTTATTTATTATTATTATATATTTATTTATTTATACGGACAGTGAGCCCAATATCATGCACAAAAACTATATAAATTTAACCTAAGTGGGTGTTATAAGTTACAGAACTTACAAATAGAAATTTTATAGAGACAATAGTAATAATACAAACACAAGATATAATATACAGTGAGACATAAACATTTACATTTTTTAGGATGATAGTAATAATACAACACCTACTGTTATCTAATAAACAAGTGTTAGAGCATGTCGTGTCACATGCTGAAGTTCGGAGTTCACTGGTGCTGCATCCCCAGCTAGTACCATCTAGTTTAGCTATGATGTTGTTGCGTGTTTTTAACTTATTTCTAACGGATTCCAGATGTTGGCTATAAGTTAGAGTTCTATCGAATTTCACTCCTAAGTATTTGGGACATTCTTCTGTAGCGATTTTTTTACCAGCGATCATTATTTCAATTTCTTTTTTTGATTCCGATTGTTGAGATGGAAGGTTGTTGTTATTGACTTATTAGTTATTCGGATTAAGCGTTAGGTGCCACTTGTGAAAATATTTTTGCATTTTGTCTAGGTATTAATAAGAGTACTCTCTGTGTAGTTCTGTGAAGCTTCTGGCTTGAGCCACGTCATCCGCATACATGAACTTTCTTGAAGACGTTTCGGTAATATCTGCTATATATTGCGTTAAAAATAGTGGAGGACAGTACTGATCCTTGCGAAGGTTCATTTGGAGGCGTTTGTCGCGACTTTCTTTGCCACTGAGAGATACGCGGAATTTTTCTATTTTTACAGGATGTATCTATAAGTCCGTACCGTTGTTCTGCATTTTAATATTTTCACTAGTTTTAGAATTAGACCTCTCTTCCAGACTGTGTCATATGCAGAAGAAAGGTCTAAGAAAACCGCGCTGGACTTTTGCTGTCTTTGGAACCCGTTTTCTATATGCCTGGATAATGTTAGCGCAAAGATTTCAACTATAGCATCATACCTAGTTAGACATGTTCTGTGATGTATAATTTGTGTTACCACTGACTTCTATACGGAGAGTACCAAATGATATAATTATTATTTGACTTTATACACGGTTAATTCACATTCCGCACCAAGCTCTTACTTTAAATAATTTATGAGAAAAATTAATTGTTACCAGAACGCGCGCGGGAAGTTAAACTTCTTTTGAATGGTACACGTGAGTGAGTGAAAAAGAAAGAAAAAAAATATTAATTAATTTAAAAAATGAGAAGAAGTAGGTATCCGGAATTATTTATTATTGATAGTTTTATTATTTTTTTTTATTTTTTTATTCGACAGATCGATGGATAATTGTTTGTAGTATTGTTTTTATCCAGACAATATATTTGTGAGTGAATACTAATAATAATAATAAAAATAAATAATAATCGATCATTAATTATTCATATTAATTAGTATGGTCCGATTATAATATATAATACTAGCTGACCCCGTGCACTTCGTCGCCCTTTAAATGTATCAACTCAATATGAGTTATGACTCAAACTTTGTTCAATTCGTTATTCAATATTCGGTGTATGGTTTTCAAAATGTATCTTATCTTTTCCGTTGCCCGGAATAAAAATGCTGAATCGCAGCAGTACATTATCAGGTAGGCAATCTACCTGCGGTAGATCGCGGACCCGTGCTCTGTTACTGACGTGTATGATTTAACTCTAAATATCAAAGTTATACCAAGTTTATTTTGATATAATACGGTGGATTAATATAACAAATTTGGTTGCTCGTAAAAAATCACAACTCTTAAAAAAAATTATGATTGTTGAACTCCTTTTGGGTGTAACTTGCTGGGGGTAAGTGCAAACTCAGCACCCTGGTAGGCAATGTTCAATAATTTGATTTGATGCAAGCTAGTACCTGATCTGCCAGAATAACCAATGGCAACCAATAAATAAATGCTAATTTCTAATGTAGACTGTAACCAATAGCAACTATTAATAAATAAAAATAAAATTTCCAATTTCCCTCTTGAATCTCAATGTCCCTGTTTGAGCACCTATTTAAAATGCGAATTTCGAAAAATCCTTTCTTAGCGCACGTCTACATCATAATAGCTAACTATTTTGACATTTTTGGCATATAGCCAAATTTCAGCCAGTCCGTCCAATGGTTTGAGCTGTGCGTTGATAGCAGTCAATCAGCTTACTGTTTTATATTTACAGATATATATATATATATATATATATATTATAATATATAATAAAACAACATTACCATGACAATATTTATTTATTTACGGAAATGTACGCTTTCGCGTTTGTACGGCCGTCCGTTCGCTTTATTTTTTCCTCCCTGCCGTGCCGTAAAGAAGTATAAACTTCAATTAATCCCGAATGGGTAGGGATTTTATTTTAATCGCGAACTGTAATATTAAATGATTAAACGCCTAAAATAAAGTAACTACTAAACAATTTTTAAAAATGTAATAAATATTCGTTTATCTTTTCTTTAGAGTAAATTAACTAATTTTTTTTATAACTTTTTACAAAAGCAACTATCAGCAAACTACGATTTACATACCTAATTGGGAATGAAGTTATTAGGTGGTTTGAACATTAAACTATTTTAATTAACACGAAGATTCCAGGGTTTGATGCCTTTCGGCTACAACCGCGGACCTCACATTAGCGCTGTGCGCTAGTCGAGAGCCGCGGAGGTTCACGGTCGACGTACGGTGGCCCAGTCCGCCGGCCGCGCGTCGTCTACGGACCACGAGCAACGGGACCGAGGTCCCGTACCAAGAAGACAGGCCAAGTGCCCGAACTGAATTCACCTGGTCTGGCTGTGTGCTATCCCCATACCGAGTGTTTCTGGTTACACCCAACCTCCGATGATACTACACCGGTATAGCGGCTAGACACCCGAGAGGAACCGACATCGAACCGGTGACTCGCGCCCCCGACCCCGAGTCGTGGCGGCCATTCATCAGAGGTTTTCGCCTGTCAGCGAGAACTTAGAATAAGTATCTATTGACTTAACCACAAAGTATTCGTAAGAAAACCGCCACCACGATTCCTACCGGCAACGGACGTCCAGGGGCGTGAACCATCACTGGACGCCCGCGGTGAGCGGCGTCGTTGCCGATGGGGCCCCACTCACTCCCGTGGTACTGAAGCCTCTTCAGTCAGACTGTCGCCCCCTCGAGATCTACCAGTTCTGTCCGGCAAGACGGGCATTGGTTTGCCTTAACCGCGGACGAGAGCGCCCGCGAGGTGCGAAATTAATCTCGGCCACACCCTTTCGAACCGTCACCAGCAAGGACCCATTCTTTGGGTCGGTCTGGCCGAACGTCCCGACTCGGTGCCTGCCGAGACGTGGCGCCCTGCCCAAACTGGCGGCAGCCCTACCTTTCGGTCAAAGGTGGGACAATTTGCGACGACCACCCTCGCCTACCGACTTAGTAGCTCTAAGCAGACGAGCCATCAGCCGCGGGCCCGCAACACTCACCGCTGTGTCCCGGAGACATGCCCGAACCCGGCTTACGCTGAGACGCCCGGCTGCTGGAAGGAGCGAACTCCGGCGCCCGTGCTCTCAACTCGTATTAAGAGCACCACCGGCTGGGTCGGTGGCCCAACCGGCGACCGTGAACCGGCCCAGAGGACATACTGTCCGGAACTACGGGTCATTTGATCGAAGCTGTCCGCGGCCGGGTATTAGTTATTCGCCGGCTACCCGACTCGGAAGCGACCGAGGGAACCGGGCTTCCCCCTATCCGCAACCTGGGGACGCGATCTATACCGTGCGTCCACGGTCGCGAAACTCACAGTAGGCGGCTGTGGTTTCTTTTAATTAACACTAGGGGCCCTAAATGTATTTTTTATCAAAAAAGAATACTGATGGCACTGAATGTAAAATGTGGTGAACAATCACGTGAAACGATAAGAACCAGTACACGAATATAATACAAAAATATGTGTCTTAAATATACTAATAATATTATATTTGTATATACTAAGATACGTATTCGATTCTTGTCGAGTACTTCTCATCTGTGGCGCACCACGCGACATTGACCTAGTACTAGTGAGAACGTACATAGTCTTGTCCAAAGAA